CTTCAGGAGACTCATTGTCTGGCTTTGGTATAAGGGTAATGGCTGGCTTACAGAATGACTTAGGAAGTGCTTCTTCCTATTCTATTTTTTGGAGGAGTGTGAGAGGATTGGTGATGATCTTTAAATATTTAGCAGAATTCAGTAAAATTATCCAGGCTTTTCTTGTGAGATTTTTGATTACTGATTCAATATTCTTAACAGTAACAGATTGGTTCAAATTTTCTATTTCTTCTTGAGTCAAATTTGGTGGTTTGTATGCTTCCAAATTGGAAAGTAAGAAGTAAGTTATCTTTGTAGATGATATGACCTTATGTATAGAAGATCCTAAACAGTTGACAGAAAGCCCAATTATTAAAGCTAATACACAAATTCAGCATAGTAGCAGGATACAAGATCAACACACACACACACAAAACAGTGATATTTCTATACAATGGCAGTTAAAAATACATTAAGAAATTAAGAAAGCAATTCATTTTATAATGGCATCAAAGAAGAAAAGAAAGGACTCAATTTGACTTAAAAGCTGCAAGGTTTATACACAAAAAGTACAAAATTGTTCAAGAATATATGACCTATATAAATGGAAAGATATCCCATATTCATGGATTTGTGAGACTTGATATTATTAATTTTAAATTAAATTTAATTATGGTTAACACATAACATAAAATTTTCCATCTTAATCATTTTTAAGTGTTCAGTACCATAGCATTAAGTATATTCACACTGTTGTGCAGCACATCTCCAGGACTGTTCCATCTTGCAAAACTGAAACTCTACAGTCAGTGAGGAATAGCTCCCTATTTCTCCAAATGCCTGGCTCTGGGCAACCACCATCCTACCTTCTGTTTCAATGTATTTAACCATTGTAGATGCTTCATATGAGTAGAGTCAGGCAGTATTTGTCTTTTTGTGACTGGCTTATTTCATGTAGCATTATGTCCTCAAGGTTCATCTGTGTTATAGTGTGTGACAGAATTTTCTTTTTATAAGGCTCAGTAATATTCCATTGTACATATATACCACATTTTCTTTGTCCATCCATTGATGGACATTTAGATTACCTTACCTCTTGGCTATTATAAATAATGCTCCAGTAAACAGGGATGTGCAGATATCTCTTTGAGGTCCTGCTTTCAATTCTTTTGGGTATATACCCATAAGTGAGATTGCTAGATCATATGGTAATTCTAATTTTAATTTTTTGAGGAACCTCCATACTGTTTTCCATAGCAGCTACACCATTTTACATTCTTACCAGCAGTGTACAAAGGTTCCAGTTTCTCCACATCTTTGCCAACACTTGTTATTTTCTTTTTTTTGAAAATAATAACCATCCTAATCGGTGTGTGATGATATTTCATAGTGGCTTTGACATGCAGTTCTCTAATGATTAGTGATGTTATCTTTTCATATGCTTTTTGCACATTTGTATCCAAATTTGGACATTTATACAGAAATTTCTGTAAAGAAGATATACAATCGAAAGGGATAGACTATCCAAGTCTTCTGCCCATTTTTATTTTATTTTATCTTATGGTCTCTATTATATGTTTCATTAAATGGTAAATTCTTTAATATGGGTACCGTGGCTCTCTTTAACATTTTTTCATTAAGACTTAATTTTTTAGAGTAGTTTTAGGTTCACAGCAGAATTGAAGGGAAGGTATAGAGATTTCCTTTATACTCCCAGCTTCTGCCCACAAAGCCTTTACTATTACCAACTCACCAGAATGGTACATTTGTTACAATTGATGAACCTATAGTGACCCATCATGATCACCCAAAATATATAGTTTGTATTATCGTTCACTCTTGGTGTTGTATATTCTCTGGGTTTGGACAAATGTATAATGACCTGTATCTGTCATTATAGTATCAGGCAGAGCAAAATATAAAGTCAGTTTCCTAAGCTTGGGAGTAATACTATTCCTTGGACCCATTTAGGTAGTACCATTTATGAGTACTTTGAACCGTCATAAATACACTGCTTAGTACTTCACTGTTATTCATAGAGATCATTTCACTTTGAAGGGACTTCACATTCCCCATAGGAAACTTTCCGATAAGTCTCAACTGGATTTTCCCAAGTTCACTCATGACCTATTTAGCCTACTCACGGGGGCTGAGTCCCACTGCGTCTTATTTAACCTGTGTGCATTTCTAGGGCAGCAGTACCGCTTGTGTTCTAGACTGTAACAAAGTCCAGTGAAAACACAGGTTCCTCCAGAACAGTGAGAACTAGTCTGTGACTTGTACTTGTGTAAGTAGTAATAGTGTCTTACTGAAGAACTGAGGTGCTGCAGAGGAAGAGAAACATTATGACTGCCTTGGTTAGGTATATTTTGTCCACAAAGACATGCTCTTGTGCCATTTGGAGAGCTAAGTCAAATAGCTGCTTCTCCCAAAGGGCCATGGGAAGATCTCAGAGGGGTAGTGGAGTATTTGGAGTGAGAGAAGGGCTAGGTGGAGTGGTGTGCATGCATTTTATTGCTCCTTGAGCAAAGATGGGCCTTCCCAGTGGAATTCTTCATCTTCCATTTCCCTACCACAAATGGGCCTCCAGATTAACCAGTATAACGTTTCCCTTTATTTTCATCCTCTTGAACCTACATAGTAAGGGAAGAAAGGTTCCTTGACATTGTGTTAATAGTAGCATAGCACCCAGAACAAATCACAGCTAGTCCCATTGTACTCCATATAGGTCAGAGCTATGTCTGCAATGTCTGTTAATTTTAGCTGGAATGTACCACCTATATTAGCAATTCTCTGAGCAGTCCTGGTGATTGGAGGCTACCTTCCGTATCAGATTGCCTACCAGCTGTGCTTCAGTGAGAAGAACTTCAGTAGCTCACCAAAATTCTTTCAAATTTCCTTCTAGCATTTGTTGTCTTTCAGTCACAGGCAAATGTTAGTGCTGAATGAAATTTATATCTGGAGAACAGCATTGCAGTTTAGGAGAGACATTGATAAACAGGGGCTGTGCTGTATTTTGTGTATTCTTTCAAATTTCCTTCTAGCATTTGTTGTCTTTCAGTCACAGGCAAATGTTAGTGCTGAATGAAATTTATATCTGGAGAACAGCATTGCAGTTTAGGAGAGACATTGATAAACAGGGGCTGTGCTGTATTTTGTGCAATATTTATACTTGAAAAATTATTTTGCCTTCTATTATATTTTTATTGCACAATGAATAAATATATTCTTGTAAAAACCATTAAAGCAAAATGCTTTAGCTGAATTTTCCTTTGAATACATTCACACCCATCCCAGTGCCACCCCTAGAGTTAACTCTTCTAATCAGTCCTTTCTTATGCAATACTGTAGTAATTCTCAAACTTTACTGTGCTTGGGAATCACCTAACAGCAAGTAGGGAATAAATGGCTTGATTCCCCAGCCCCACCCAGAAATTCTGGGTCAGTAGGTTTAGGGTGGGAAGTAAGGATATTTTTCAAACAAGATCCCGGACGATTCAGATGCTGCTGGTCCACAAACCACATTTTGAATAGCACTGCTATTGGCATATGGCATAGAAATGGTATGGAAATATTTAATATAGCTTTGTGTATATGGTTTTGTGCAAATATTATATTGTTTGCATTCCTCTATAATTTGCTTTTTTAAAAATTAAAGTATCATTGACATACAATCTTTGGTTGGTTTCAAATACACAACACAGTGGTTCAACATCTACCCATATTATCAAGTCCTCACCCTGTTCAGTAAGGTCACTGCCCATCAACTATAATTTACTTTTAAAAATTAACAATGTTTCTTGGAAATACATATGGAAAAACATCATGGCAATACATATGGATCTACCATATTCTTTTAAGCTCCTGCAGAATATCTTATATTGTCTTCTAATATATTGGGTACTTAGATGTAACTTATTAGGATTATTTTTCCTTTCTTGCACAATAATTTGTGTTCCTTAGAGTTAGTACTTGTCTTTTTTTTTTTTTCTGGTTAGAACCTTTATTTCAGAAATAAGCATCCTATGTAATTTGAGGTGGTTAGAATAGTTATTTCTGGATCACTGTAGTAAGTTTTTGTCAAAAACACCAATAGTCTCAATAATCATATACACTTCATTAAAAACTTCCAAAAACAACTCTTCTGTTATAAAAAAACTTACAAATGTCACAAGGGAGTTAAGTAGTGGTCTGTGCAAGAGATAAGGAAAATTCCGCTAGGAGGAACAAAAATAAAGCATTTTGCCCATTACGTTTTTGAATCATACAGCTTATGAAGAAAGCTGGCTTTGCCTTCTTTTTTAGTGCTTAGTCTGAGAAGGAACGTAAGAAAACAAGTCTGAAGAGTTTTTCTGATAAAAGCATCAGAGCTTGAAAAGATGGAAAGGCAAGCATGTATTCTATTTAAAAGTTCAATAAATATGCAACAAAAACCCAGATTCTGAACATACTGTTTTTATACTTAGAAATGCAACAACTTTCATGCCTTGCACATTTTATCATGAGATTAGTTTTAAGGATATTTTATTCAGAAGACTCAAAAGTAAAACTTACATACATTTATATATGTATATATATATTTATATATATATTAGGAATTCTCCGTAGAACATAATACATTCTGGACTGTCCTAACAATGTCAAATAATGAGAAACCAAATATGACCACATCTGTGTCATAAAGAGAACACTGAGAAGGAACAGTAGGAGAATGAACCACCCATGTCTTTGTTTTATGCTCAATGCTTTGGCATGTTAAGCAGACGAATGTCAAAAACAAAGCTGACTTGTTTGCTTCCAAACAGCCAGACCCTCTCACTGGCTCACCACCAATCACACAAGGGCTAAGTATTCAAAGAAAGATTTCAGGTGAACCTTTACTTCTCTCTGGTCACTTTACCAAACCTCTGTATCACTTAGGACATTAACTTGTTAACACTCTGCATTTCAAAAACTATGCAGGTAAACACAGTTTGCTAATTTTCCCTTAAACAAATACATTTTAAAATAGAACACAATGTTTCACAATACAAACCTTAGTTTTCACATTCATTAAAACATTTTAGAATTACTCAAACATGCAAAATGGAAATGTATGTGCTTATTTGGAAGAGAACCACTCAATTTATTCTTGAGAAGAAAAAGCAGACCCGAAGCATCACATTACCAGAACATTTGAAACATGGTGGTGACAAGTTCTTATCTTCTAAACGTCAACAAAAGATGCTTGTATCACCTATTTAATGAATATCTGACCTTATTCAATAAGAAAGGTATCTGATTTTTTAAAGGAGTCAGAAGCTGAGTCATTTCACTTCTTTCTGTTGCCTCCAGTTGCTAGAATACTGGCAACTCGCATTAATATGTTTAGTGTATCCATGTAGATTCCCAGCATCGAATTGATGGGATCATATTTTTGAACTCCATACATTGGTACTATCTCTGCATGCTTGATTACTTTCTGTGTATCATATAGAAGGAACATGCTGAAAAGAGCTAATCCACCATAAATTGCTGCTGAGTACAGAGTGACACCATCCACAGTGGTAGGTGGAAGAAACAGAGATCCCAATGAGGACACAAAGACGAGACCCAGGCCAACTCCCAGGGGTGCGCCCATGTTCAGAAACTTCTCACTTGGCGTGCACGTGGCCACAGTGGAGAGGCCTCCCACAAAGCCTGCTGTGTACCATGCAGCTCTGATGAGAAGAGGCCCCCCTAATACCGTCAGAGGAGCTGCCACTGCACCCATCACACCAGAATGTAGTAACCAAGCAAGATGCTTTGGGCCTGGGCTCTGGTCATACGGTATTGATTGTACCAGCATTCCAGCTCCAATCATGGCCACAAAGGTTGCACCAATTGTCACCCAAGAGCCTCTCATCATGAAGTTCATGAGAACAGGAGATCTGCTTACTGCCAGAGCAGACAAAGCTGTTAAACCAATACTTCCTGCTAAGTACATATACGTAGAATGAGTTCTATCCTTCACATACTGAGGCCAAATTACTGCCTTTTCAATAGCTCCAATCTCATTAGACATTCCCAGGCCATAGTAGTAGCACAGTGCTCCAAGACCAACGGCAGCCCCACCAGCAACAAACCATCTTCCCATCTGGTCAATTTTAAATATTTTTTCCATCGATGGTTCCAATGCTGCCTCCTTGAGTTCTTGGCCAGGTCTTCCACGCCGGACCCCAATTCTTGTCTTGGTAGCATATTCCCTGCTAGGTGTTAAGAGCCATTGATTCTTTGTGATGGAGTTCTTCACAACAGGGGAGGCCTTGGTGAAAGTTGGGTGGAAAACCCTGGAAGGGAGTATCCGAAGACACACAAGTCTTGACGCGAGCATGGTGGTACACCAGGTTTACCAAGCAGATCCGAAATGCTCAGTGCCCGGTCACCTCAACCGCGCGGATCCCCTTCCGGGCCGGCTAAACGGAGAAGCGTACACCTCCCACCTCTGTGAGCCCGTGCAGTTCCTCCTGGTTACCGAGTGACGCAACACCCGGAACCTAGTACTTGTCTTTTTTATGCTTGGTTTTAATGTTGTTTTTATTAATAAAAGCCAAACACCAGCCAAAGGTTGTATATCTTCTCTTAATATATTCATGCACATTAATTATTGTATTAGTTTCATGTTTTGATGAGATCTATACCAGATACTTCTAACTTGCTACGTTTCTTTACTGGCCACTCTAGACTTGGTGTAGCACTATGATCTTGGGGTCTGTCTTTTCATTAGCCCAGGGATTGCTTTTGCTCTGACTTGGGTTGTATTCCCTGGTTCCTGATTTGATGTCTTCCTCGTTTTCTGGTTTACTGCATTGTCTTGTTGACCATCTTTCAGGAAAGGGTGCATTTCAGGAAAAGTGCTGATTTTTTTTTGAGATGTTGAATCTCTGAAAATACCTTTGTTCTATTGATGCTTTGGCTAGGTATAGGTATAGAATTCTAAATGTTTTGAAATTTCTTGATCATGTGCTTTGGTATGGATTTTTTTCACTGATTGTGTTGGGTACTGCTTGGAACCTTTTCAATCAGAAAACTCATCCTGGGACATTTATCTATATATATAAAATGTATATATATTATATATATAATATATAACTTTATGATTTCCTTCACTTTATTTCTTGTTTTTTTCTGGAACTTTTATTTATTACTGTGTTGGAACTTCTGGAACGGTACTCTAATTTTTTAATCTTTTGTCTTTCTTTGTGTTTTTGCTTTTCCCCTGGGAGATTTTCTTAATTTTATCTTTCAACTTTTCTGTTTATTTTTCTGGCTTTGACCATGTTTTTAATTTCCAGAAGTCATCAGTTGTTACCATGTTTTGGCTATGGTATATATGTTGCTATGGACATGGTGGTGCATATACCTTTTTGCATGGTATTTTCATTTCCTTCAGATGTATTCCAGAAATGGAGTTGCTGGATCATATGGTGGTTCCATTTTATGTTTTTGAGGAACCTCTGTTTTGCTTTCCATAGTGACTGCACCAATTTACATTCCCACCAGCAGTGCACAAGGGTTCCCTTTCCGCTACACTTTCCCCTTTCAGCACTTCTTGTCTCTTTGATGATGTCTGTCCTTTCAAGTGTGAGGTGATATCTCATTGTGGTTATGATTTGCATTTTCCTGATGCTCAGATCCTCTGTCCATTTTTTAATCAGATTGTTTTTGTGCTATTGAGTTGTATTCTTTTTTTTTTGTATTTTGGAAACTAATCTTTTATCACATACATGTTTTGTAAATATTTTCTTCCACTCCATAGGTTGCCTTTTCATTTGGCTGATGGTTTCTTTGCTGTGTAGAAGCTTTAGATCAGTCTTTGATTTATAAATTTCAGAGCTACTCAATTAAATCCATAAAAAGTCCTGACTACTGTGACTTCTTGGTGTATTGAAATGTGTTTGCACAGTTATTAATCTGTAATAATTCTCATGGGTCCCTCCAATAATTTTCATCTTGTATTCAACTTGATATGAATGTTGTTATAGTTTGTTTTTCTTTAAACATTTTCTTTTAAGCCTTTTCTCATCCCTTTATTTCAGCATTGCCTTGTTATTTTAAGCCTGTCTCTTTTAAACTGTGTAGAGTTTAATTTTACCCACTCAATCCATGTGTCTTCTAATATGAATTTTACTTATTCATATTTATTGTTCTTTATGATACATTTAGGCTTGTTTCTACCCCTTATTTATTTATTTGCTTGTTCTTGCTATCTTTTTTTCCCCAAACTTATCTCCCCATCCTCATTCTATTGTCTAGTGAATTGATTTTTTCACTATTTTTTCCTGCTAATATATTTGAACAAATAATGCCATCTGTCTATTTAAGCTTCCATTTTCTTACCATGTCCATCAATTCATATCTACTTCTGCATCAGTTGGCTATTGCTATAATAATGTTTTGGAACAAGCTATTGCCCCAAGAAACCCAAATAATAGCAATCTTTTTCACTGTTCATGCATCTGTGCAATGGCTGAGGTTTATCTGATGTAGGCTGGGCTTGGGAACACAGCTCTGCTGCTCACTGTAGTTGTAGTTGTGTGGGTTTGTCGGAATACTTTGCTGTAAAAGTTGGGTGGGTCTGCTCCAGGTATCTTTCATCCTTGCATGAGAATAGCAGATTAGCTGGGGCATGTTCTGATAATGGTGGTGGAGACACAAGAGAGTAAGCTTAACTGTGAAAGCCCATTTCAAGTCTGGTTGATTCATAGCTGCTAACATGTTACATGTCCTATCACAGAGTCAAGGAGTGAGGAAATATACCCCAAGACATTAAGAGGGCATTCGACATTACATGACAAAGAGTGTGGATGTATAAGGAGAGAGAGAATAGCTAGAATAATGATCCAGTCTACCAGGACATTCTTCCCTTTAATAAGATGAATTAAAAAAAAAACTCAACATATATAGTCCCTTTTATTCTCCTTCCTTCAGTCTCCTATGTCGACATTTGAGATTTTTGTTGAGGTTGCTATTAAGTTTAAAAATGTATATTTATTTGAGACAAAGGCATAGAGGGTGCTGCATGGATCTGAGTTATAGTGGTGGATGCTATGATGTGCTGATCAGAATCTCCATCAGGAATGAAATACTCTCAGTTGTAGGGAATGCTGCCAGTAGACAGTTCTCAGCTCTCAGACTCATCAGGGATTGCCATGACTGAAGACAGCTACCTTGCCAACATCATGCCCTCTTCCTAGGTGTTCATATCCAATGATTGCTCAGTATGACGATTTCAAGTCCAGCCCTCTTGCTCTAAGTTAAGATGGCTCTGAAAGGCAGTCCAGCATTTGGAACTCCTTAGAGAGTTTGGTCTCGATAGTGTATCACCGCTCAACGTCTGCCTGACCTTGCTTCCTCACCCTCCCTTCCCTTCCGCAGGTGTTGATCCACAGAGCACCCTTTTTTTTAAGTAAGCTTTTTTTACTTACTGATTTTGATCTCAAAAATAACTTAGCAGGGAACTCATCCATGAGAGTTGGTGCAGAGGTCCAAAAAACCCACAGCAAATGAAAACATGAAACTCATGCTGGGATAGAATTCTGGAGCTGAATCACTCATTACCTGGCAGGCAAAGAGGACTGTTACTAGTGGAAGGTAGAGCTCAGACAGCCCCTGGCAAAAATGAGCAGTGTCATTGCTAAAATACCCACTGTTGGGTAATTGGGAGGGCCAGTTAGTGGAAGGGAATACATTAGCTGGTACAGTGTATCAAGCATTTGGTGTAAATGGGAGCAACTATAAGGTAATAGAATTGAATGCCTACTGCTGAATTCAATCAACACTTGAAAAAAATAATGAAAAGCTAAGCTAAGAAAGAGGTATTTGAAATTACAAGCTAATGCGAAAGCCAGAGGTCCTCCTTGATATCATATACAAAGAATCTCATTTCCTTTAGCTGGAAGGCAGAGAGAGCAAAGGGCCAGGGTCACATGTTAATTGTAAGAGTAGCTGAGCTCTAAACCAAGGCAGGTGTGCCATGCCAAGGGTGGGAAAGAATGGGACCCTGACATCTTGGGTAGGGACAGTCATATTGACGCTTCCTAAAAATCTTGAATCCTCAGACTTCCTTGATGCCTCTGAAGTTGCAGAAGTGGCCCACTTTACTTATAAGGGCTAGAATTCCTTTGTTGCCTGAAGATTTGCAAAGACCTCTCTCCCTTTCCTCCCCCAGGATCTTCCCCACTCTCCTATCCTGGCCCAAAGTCAGTAATGGAGTTAAGTTATAACATTCCCAGCAAAAGATGTGCTGAGAATGAAAAGCAGGGAAGAACAGGACTTCAGAGGAGCTCTAGGATTTAGCTGGCATGTTCCAGCAGAAGCTGGGAGACCATGGGCTTGGATTCTGAGGGTACCCGATCTGGGGGAGAGGAGCAGGATGTAAGGTTGAAAAAATGAGATTTATCCATTTGAGAGCACTCTCTCAGGATCAGGATACATACATACATACATACATATATATATAAAATATTTTTTGCCTTTTTATGCAACATCATTTTCCCTCAGTTGAATAATTGTAGACCTCCATTCTTTTTAGTTGCTGCATGGTTTTCCATTATGAGGAAATGTCATAATTTTAATATTGTGTTGTGTGTCTGTATGCACACTGCTTTTCGTTTTTTGAATAATTACATTTTGTCCATCGGTCAAGGAGCAAATTTTGTCCTACTGTTCTGTCACTCAGTCTTGCCGTATTGTCTGGATGCAGTTTGTATGATATTCACGGTTGTTTATCAGCTTTATGCTTTCTATTTAGAATTGCCACACATCTGTTTTCTTCAGTAGAACAAAAAGAAAGTGTTAATTCTCAGTGATGTCGCTTTTACTAAAAACAGTTCTGAAAACACAGCAGCTATTAAAAGTATTAAGTCTTATTTACTCAAAACATGCAGACTCTTAAAAGAATTTTGTGTTGGTCTAAACACTGGGAAAGGTCTTTCAGTATTGTGCTTTATGGTTTTATGATATAGAGCACATGTATACACAAGCAAGAATTAATTCTACTTAATTCTACTTAAAGACAGATTCGCCTTCCTGTTCCCCACCCCCACTGCCATTTTTGATAATGGAATGTTGAATACAGTAGTCAAGTGTGACTGACTTCATCAAAATATATTTTCAAAATCTATCTCCAAACATGAAGGGAGTCTTTACTTTGAGCCTTTTGAAGACACCAACATGGGAGATGAAATGTATACAATCTGTTAAATAGTCAATTATAGAGAATTATGTTGCTATAAACATGTACATACATAGTGGGGTTTTGATACTGATTTTCAACTGGTGTGTAACTATGAGTATTTTCCTTATTCTATCAGGCCTACATTTTTCTTCTTAAACAATCTGGGTTCCTATTGGTGTCTTTCTGCACAGTAGTTATGATGGAGCTTAATTTGAATGATATTTTTGAGGACATTGAGATAGAGCACCAGCCAAGATTTCTTCAAAATTGTGAAGGGAATATTGAGGACAGTAGCACTGGAA